TTCCCCAGCCAGCCTTGCTGGCTGGGGGATTCTGGGAGTTGAAGTCCACACATCTTAAAGTGGCCAAGGTTGAGATACACTGCTGTAAAGGGACAATCGACACTAAGGCTTGTTCTTGCTGCAGCAAAGAAGGCAAAAAGCTCAAAAGGGTCTTTCAACAACACAACACAACACAACACCCAGACAACGCAACACAGCATTCACACATATATATTAAAGAGGAGGGCATATAAGAATATTTCAGGGTGTAACCTGGGAACCAAGAATAAAGGGAAAACTTGTTTTCTTGATAAGAAAGGGGAAAAGGATTTCTGATGGAGGAAGGAACAAAACAGTGGAAAAAATCACTTCCTTTCTGAGCAGAGCTGGGGTGCTTTTCCTGATTTGCTGTGATGGAGGATGGCTTAGGTTTTTTTTTTTTTTTTAATCAATAATGAGAATGGAGCACTGTAGAGGGAAAGGAAGAGAAAAGCAAAAGAGGAGTTGCCCAGTTGAGCAGGAATCCTTCTTCTCTTCTGACTTGCGGGATAGTTGAGGACCATTTTTATACTTTTCATTTAGCAGATGAAAAGAATGTCCTTTAGCAAATGTCTCAAAATGTAACGCTTCTGTCACATTCAGCTTCAGAATGAGTTGGGTTTGTGTATAAACCATCCTTCATCCTTCCCTTTTGGCTTAGACTGGAAAATTCGTCTGGGGTCTCACTTGGTGACCCCATCTTGGCCTTAAGCAACGTCTGCAGTTTTATAAATGTCAGTCAGAGGATGAGAAGCGGGAGTGCCTGCCTGGAATGGTCTGCAGGGCGTGGTCAAAAAAGTCAACATGGGGCCACAATGGTGAAATTGAAGTTCTGCCTGCTTTTGTGTGTGTGTGTGTGTGTCAACAGGCAGAGTTTTGATTACACTGTTGTGACCCCCATTTTGACTTTTTTGACCATGCCCTTCAGATGCTCCTGAATTGGGAAGCATTAAGAGAGTTCATCGGGAAATTTCCAGGACGCAGGGAGACGTCTTCACCCAACATGTGTGAGACCTATCTGACAATTGCCTTTGTGGTTGAGACATAGCCATCAGCCAATTCTATTCAGCAAGCCAAAGCTTTCTCACCTCCTCCTTTACTTCCATAGCCACATATGACCACAGTGGGGTAAAATGCAACAGTCAAGCTGCAGCTGAGAAATATTTTCCACCAAAAAGGATTAGAAGCTGTTCCTACTTGGATTGAAATATGTTTCTAATGCTTCCTCAGTTCCTAATTCTTGTTTTAATTTTAATTTTTTATGAACTAATTAAAAAAAAGAAAAGAAAAAATACACAAAATGATGAAAGAAGGATAAACTCAAAAAAGAAACAAAAATGTACAGGGCATATATTTCCAGACATACATACATTGATAAATGGAAGCCATGATTTGTTACAGTCATCCATAGCTAATCTGCATTAATCAATTTGGCAGGCCACTGAATAGTTGGAGCCATATGTTTATTTTTCCAATGCTGAACAGTAAGTCTTTTGGCTGTAAATAAGGTACAGAAAATCCTGATTCTTTAAATTTAAACAGTTCTTGCTGCAAGATGAGAAAAATGCCATTTTAAGGGCAGACAGAGAGTATAGTGTTGGAAGAAGCAGGGAAAAGATATATCCTGGTATGTGAGAACAATTATTAAAAAAAGCATGAAGTATAATAGAGGAGACACAAAAATATGCACGATAGAATTTAGAATCAAGTTGGGGAATGCTTTTCCTGTGGGCATGAATAAAGGATCTTTCCAGAAAATGTTGAATCTTGGCAATCAGGAGGAGCTGCCAGGCATCTGTAACGCAAGTGTCCTTCTGCTAGATCTGCCATTATCTTGATAAGATTCACAGGTCAGCCATTCAGATGGGAAGGATGAGAGAAGTCTAGATCATGCTTGCTTCAAAAAGCTATAGTTGAGTCCCTTTTAACAAGATTTTATTCATGATTTGGTCAAAGCCAAGTACTGAGTCAACCGTGGTTGAAGGAGGAGGTAACAGTGGGATTAAGCAAAATCTTGCCATTGGTCAGTCTACCATACCATTGGGGGCCAGTTCCAAAGGGAATCAGAGAGAGAGGCAGGAAGAGTGAGATGAAGCAGTTGAGTTTCTTCAGATTAATCAGAGAGTCACATC